AAAAGAGCACAAAAATAATAAAATTATATAACCTGTTTTGGAAATGTATGTTAGCATCTAGAACACTTGTATGTTTGGGTTCTGTGTCAATAAGAATTCCAATTTTATCAATGAACTTTCAAGATCAAGTTCATTTTCCTGATATTAGTAGGAACATTAAAATTGCATTCTCCAGCATGAAAACTGTTGCTATCTTGCTTGCCTAATGTTTAGGATTTTGGTAACAACCTTGCAAGTTGCATTATCTACTCAGAAGAACTACTTGTGCTGCAATAATGCATTGATCAATGCAGCAAGTTGAAGGGGTTAGAAAAAAAGGTGCTGGCAATAGGTTTGCCAATAGGCCAAAAGGCACAAAACAGTTAAGGTCATGAATACACCATCTGCTCAGATAACTGAGCATAAAATTCAGTCAAATTTGCTGACATGATTTTATGACATTGTTATATAATCATGTTCTTTGTTGGATTACATAATCTAGAACTTCCTCTGACTTTGCGAGTGGAGACTTTTGAATACTAATTTAACTTTCCAATGAGAGGGATGCCTTATGTCCTCTAAAGATATGTCGTTCCATTTTTATTTTCCCTTAAGCTACTTCATGATTTACCATTTGTTTAGAATTCTGCATAATTTATCTTTATTGACATGGCAGAATGCCCTGGTTGACCCTCAACGTGTTCGAACTCCTGCTATCACCGAGTACTGGAAACCTTTGGCAGAAGATGTAAGCACTCATTTACTTGAAATTTATTGAGACACTCAAATGATATAGCAGGTGTTTGTTATTCTAATTCCTTGGAAGATATAGTCGGTGTTTGTTCTTCTCATGTGCGTTTCAAATTCTTATGATGGAAACTTATCTTGTCTGTATCTGTTAGGTTTGCGTTTAATTTTCTGATTTTGTTTTCTTTTATAATCTCAGATGGACCCCTCAGCAGGGATAGAAGCTGAATATCACCATAAAAACAACCGAGTAAGTTTTTTCTTTTTTAAATATTCATACTTCTACAGTGTCATTAATGACTTTCCAATGGTGTTTTCTACAATGCGGTATTACATTTTGTCAACTGTTCCACATGCTGAAGCAAGCTTATTCTTTTGGAAATATATAATTTATAGGAATTTCTTGCAGAAAAAGTTAGAGAGGTTTTGAAATGTTAAAATATCAACAACATTAAAATTTTAAATTTTATAGATTTTTTTTGTCTAATAAAATTGCACTTCTTTTAAATAGGAGGGGAAAAGGATGACTAAGTTGACGCTTGAATTGTAATTCCAGGCTGGTAAATATGAAAGGAGCATTAGCAACTTGTTTGCTTCTATAGACTGGAAAAGGCTAGAATTACTTGTCGAATTAGTGTAAGAACAAAGGATCATTTTGTCTACGAACTGTGCCTACACATCAGACAAATTTCTTAGGAAAAAACTCCAAAGAATCAATGGAGAACTTTGGGCATGGAGTGGAATTCCAGATCCTAAGCAGAGGAAAGAATTCCTATCTCTCGTCCCTCTTGATTTTTTGGGTCACTAAGAATGAAAGGAATTCCGGAATTCTTGAACATACCACAGTCTCCTTTATTTCCATTAAGGATAATTGCACTAGGACCCTGACCCTGTGTATTTTGTTTAAGGATGATCCTATTACTCATGCGGTGGATATCATAGATCTTTTCTGTTGTTTATCTTTTGAGTGAGATTCCTTCTTTTACATATGGGTGGCACCTTGTAAGGATCTGAGTGCAAATAGAGAAAAATATATTAGGAAATATAAGATCTGCAGGGGTGCACGAAAAAAACTATGGAAATGTTTGCAGGAAATCCAAACCCGAG